GTACAAATAATCACTGATTCATCAGTAATTTTAGCGCGTTAAGGAGCTTTGCATAAACTCCAATCAGTCAAAAATCTACTTGACCAAACAATGACATCGCCAATGCCTATACATCGCCAAGCAGTCTGCCGTATTATTGCCTATTTTATGTCGTAGGCCGCCAAATATTGTTTTTCAACGTTCGATAACTATGCTTCATTATTGTTTCCGCGCCCAACATAAATATATCAAAATAATCAGCATATTCACCTCCACAACATACTAAAAATTCATATTCATTAGTGACAAGATTATTTGGTTAGGTAGATTTATGATAGATTAAATATTATTTAACTCCCCTGCCCGCCGAAGGCGGTCTGATATGTTAAGAGTATTTTATTCACAGAAAGCACTAATTTTATACATTTCCTAATACAATATCGGAATTTCATACAATTCCTAGGATATGTGTGTATTAAAAATTTTCCAAATATTTTCTTTTTATTGAAGCAGTTCCATTTTGAAACGGAATTAAATAGGAATATTTTGAAAAACGTCTTGAAATAAACACAAAATACAATAAACGAAGTATACATTCTATATCAGCAATATACAGAGTGCCCCAAAAGTTCAAATTTTTATCAAATTTGTTAAATAACTCTTCTCATCTATTTACATTTATCATGCCTAAACTGTGCTAAAAGTGTATGTATTTAACGTTATTCTCAGATATTCGAGGTGTTCCAAAATAACTATCTGGTAAATTAAAAACTAAAAATAAACGAATTTTATGTTCAACTTTGCGACTTTGTACTTACAGAACGTCAATATCCAAAGAAGTTAAAAATTTGAGTTGAGTAGGTTTTACTTATAAATCTTAAGATTTGCCAAAATGGGCAGATAAATGTAAGGATTGTTTCAAATGAGAAGATTTTTCGGGTTTTTACCATTGACGTTGACGATTAGTGAAACTTGGTTTCGCTTCAATATGGCGAGCTATTGTGTCTTTTAGAATTGCAAAGTATCTGATAATTTGCAAGCACACTTCTTCGTTTAGCATTTTTTACGTTGCTACATTTTCCGAATTCTCGCCGTCCGCTGAAACACAATTTCTTAACATCATCTTAAACACTCCTTTATCGCATTCTTCCTTATTTTACTGTAGATATTTTGCTTTTTAAAATTTTAAAATTACCTATGTAGCGTAACTTATAATTTATTACAATATTTAATATACAGTTTTTAATTAAGTATATGGAAATATTTTATTTCTAAAGCCAACATTTAGAAATGGTCATCGGTAAAACCTAGCGTTGATGAAACTCTAATAATATCATCAAGGTCGTCAGTGTCCTACCAACCTATCTAGCTTATTTTTTATTGAGTTCCATAGAGCCCTGCTATCCTAATACCTCTTGATTTCTAACATTCTCTATCCACGGTATCCTCTCATTCACCTGTAACACCACATTTCGAACGCTTCTGACCTTTTCTTTTCCTCCACGCCCACTGTCCATGTTCCGCACCCATACAGCGCCGCACTACAAACATACACCTTTAATAACCTTTTTTGAATTTCTAAATTAACCGTTCGCGAGCATAGAAGTGACTTCTATATATTAAGGCGACTCGACCCTGCGCTATCCGGTGCTTTACATCTCTACTACTCCTATTGTCCTGACTTATCTGACTTCCTAGATACCTAAAATCAGCCACTTCTAATATTTCGTCTCCTATCTTTTTATTCGTTCTTTCCCTACTTTTTCTTCCCTTGCATACCAGTATTTTTGTTTCATTTTTAGTTATTTTCATTAAATACTGTTTTGTTAATACCGTTTCCATTTTATTTAAAACTACCTCTAACTCCTCCTTGCTAGATGCAAATCTAAACTTTTTTGCCCCTGTGTATCAATCCCTACAGTTGCAGTGTCTTTAATGATTTATCGCGTCTTCAATATATAAATTAATATGGAGCGGTGACTTCTTAATATTTACTTCTCTACATTGCAGCCCCAGCTCTATAACTACCTGTTGCTCTTTATACAAACTAAGTATCACTCTTTTATCTCTGTAACTCATCCCTACATTTTTGATATATTTAACTTCTTGTCCCATTTAACATTGTCAAAAGTCTTTTCTAAATTTACAAATCCTACAGACGCACTCATTCCTTTTTCTATCGTTGTCTCAATTGTTATTCGTAAAGCTAGAATGGCCTTCCGCGTTATTCTATTTCTTCTAAACCCAAATTGATTCTCCCCTAAAAGTTCTGCCCTTTTTCCATCCTCCTCTGTACAATTCTAGTTAAGAGTTTTGACGTATGGGAAATGAAGTTAATTGTTCTAAATGTCTCGCACCTATCCGCGCATCTCTTTTTGGGTACGGTTACTACAAGCTTCCGTTTATAATCCCCTGGGACTTTTCCCTTCTCGTAAATGTAATTAACTAGCTTAAACGTACGATCTCTAACCTCTTGTCCTGCATGTTTTAAAATTTCTGCCTGTATCTCATCTATACCTGGCACCTTATTATTATTCTTTAAGTTTTTTAATGCAACATCGAACTGTACTCTCATTATAATGTCCCATATATGGGATAACCTAACTCACCTATCTCCACACTATCTTTCTTCTTTAATATATCTCCTAACTCACGGCCTGCGTAACAGTTCTCTAAATATTCTTTCAGCCTATCTGTCTTTTCCTCACTTTCTATCAAAATGACCCCTGCCTCGTTTGTTATATTATTATTACTGTACCCTACATCTCTAAAATTCCTTTTAATTAAATTATAAGTCTCATCGGTTTTACCTACATCAAATTTTTCTTCTACTTCTTTACACATCCTATTAATTCACTATTTCTTAGCTACTCTACACTTCCTAATTATTTCCCACTTTATAACCTTATTTCTTTTTTGCCCTTCTTCGTCTGTCCTGTTTTTGTATTTCCGCCTTTCTTCTATTAATCCTACAATCTCGTTTGTTATCCAGGGTTTCCTACTTTCGTTTTGTTTAACCTAACCTAACCTAATAGATCTGTAGCTGCTGACTTTAAGCACGTTTTAATGCAGTTCCGTTTTGTCTCTATGTCCCTGTTAGTCGTTTTTCCCGCCTCTTTTAGTATTTCGTCTGTCGTTGTACCTAGCGCATCTCCTTACATTTTAGCTTTTCCAGTCTAAACGTGTCCTACCTTCCCACTTTTTCAGAATTTTTAATTTAATATTGGTCTTCATAACTACTAAGTTGCGTTGAAGTCTCCTACAAATATTAGGTTTTCCTGTTCCTTTACTAAACTTAACACGTCTTCTATATTTGCATAAACTGCTTCTACGTCTTCATCACTGTAAGATGATGTAGGCATGTCGACCTGCACTAATACCGTTTTTACCGGCCTTGAATTTAATTTAACCATAACTATCCTATCGCTTTTTTGCAAATAACTCTACACTCTGCCCTACTTTCCTACGCATTACAATTCCTACCCCCGAATTACCTTCCACCGATCCTGTATGTATTACTCTAAAGTTTCCACTCCAGAAGTCCCCAGCTTTGGGCCAACAGACTTCACTAATACCTACTATATCTAATTCTAATCTATCCATCATGATGTAGGCATGTNTTTCCTACGCATTACAATCCCTACTCCCGAATTACCTTCCACCGATCCTGTATGTATTACTCTAAAGTTTCCACTCCAGAAGTCCCCAGCTTTGGGCCAACAGACTTCACTAATACCTACTATATCTAATTCTAATCTATCCATCATGATGTAGGCATGTAGACCTGCACTAATACCGTTTTTACCGGCTTCTAGTTTAATTTAATCATAACTATCCTATCGCTTGTTTGTAAATAATGGTACACTGTACCCTACGCATTACAATTCCTACAACTGAATTACCTTCCACTGATTATGTATGATTTTAAACGGACTTCATTAATGCCTACTACATCTAATTCTGGTCTATTCATCTCAACTTTTATATTCATTAATATTACTAACACTGCTTTGTACCAGCCTTTAAAAGCACCTGTTATTATCATTCCTAATAAATAGGGACAGTGGTATTGTTCACACACTTAACTCATATTTACAGTTTTACAGTCCATTGAGAAAAATGATTTAGTCTTTTTGCCTTTTTTACGCTGAGGTTTGTATTGTTTTTACCTATAAATATAATTTTGAATATCATTTATCACGATTCAGATGAATTTACTCTTTACTACAAATTAATTTCTTTACCATGAGAATTTTAACTTTCTTCTTGTTGTGAATTTAATTTTCTGCATATGATCTATTTCAACATCAATTTCACTTTTTACTGATACTATAACTTGATTTTAAACTATGCATTTATTTTTTAATTGCGGTTGGTTTATTTTTACTGTGAACATATACTTATCTACCTATAATGCCTAGCACATTTAATTGTGCAAAATTTCTCCTTGGTCTGCATGTTTTAGTGTTTAATAAGCAGGTATAACAAGATTTATAAAAATATAATTAAAATAATTAAATTGCTTTTGGTGAGTTCGTCAAATATATTTCATTTACTTTCTGTAGCGATATGCCTCTTCCAATGTCTTGGATGCGTGCTGGCAAAATCGTAGGTAGGGAGAAAAAAGCACATTATACTCTCGTCTCTTGTTCATTAAACATACTTTTTAATACAGTATCTGTCAAAAGTTTTGTTCAATCATGAATAGTAGTGCGAGTCGAAAACAAGCGTTAAAGCCTTTAATATTTCTTCAAATATAAATAGATAAACATCTCATTGATATTTTCAGTAGTAAATGGTACCAATAACAGCACATTTGAGCAATGCAATTGTAGTGGATAAAATGGTCAATTTTTCCGTGCAGTACTGTACGGATTATACGCTCCTCACCGGTTAAGAGTTTAGCCGAGAGTTGTCCTTCCTTTTCTGGCCTAGTGCTGTTCTTTTCTACTTTGCGCCGGTCAAACTGAAGGTCACGCCGCTACAGAAAGTAAATGAAGTATAATTGTAGTTTTACTTACAGCCTTTGGTTGGTATGACAATCATATTTTGGCTTTTATCGCCATTATTTGCTCGCTCTTCGCGCGTTGCCAAATTCTTCTGTTTCGTCTTTATTTCAAAAGAATATGTAGTGGCCATACGTAGGCCCTCGATGTCGGCAGAATACATTTGAGTATTATCTTCTTCATCAGACATTCTCGTTGGTTTATTTTCGTTTTTGGGTTCAATCGATTTACTTCTGCACCGTTGAGTTCCCCACACCTGTAGTTCGCAATAACGAATTTGGAAAGCACTTTTTGATGTGTGCTTGGCATCCGATTCCCACTGTAACTTTACCCGATGGTAGTCTGGTTCTCCGACTAAATTTCGTACTGCTGATGCTGCAACAAATGAAAAAGTTATGCTAGCTGAATAAGAATAGATAATATTCCGCTCATCAAATTATTTAAAAGACAATGTGTACCTGTTCCAATTAAGTTAAATTTTATTTGTTTAAGAAAAATTAATTTATAACTACCTATAAAAATTTCATAGCTAATTAAACGTTTTTGATGAAACTAAACATCTGACAATTGAGGGTTTCAGAAATGTTTTACAGAATTTAAATACTTAAAGAAAGGTCTTTTTATAAACACTTAAATTGATGTAATAAAAGATGGTAAGATACCACAAAATTTATTACATATTTGTATCTCTATTCAAATATATAAGTTCAGGGCGAAAGGCAACTTTCATTTTGCAAACATAAAAGTGTTTTCAGTAACTATGAACTGTTACATAATGAATTTTTTCTTATGATGGATATATTTGACGTCAAATAATTAATACCCTTGGAGTTAAATAAAGACCTATGCATAAACTTTACATAATTTCGTAGAAGTAGTTATGAAATATGGATACCTTTTAGTGGAAATGTATCTCATTTTTTAATTTAATTAAAATTAGAAACAAGAAAGTACTACCGAGTCCAGCATTATTCTACGCTAACAGTTTACCTTTCAGATATTATTATAGGCAGGTACGTCACCTTAAGGTTTAATGTGTAATAACATATTACACATAGAGAGTGTTTCTAAAATATGTAGTAAGTTTGCAGAAAGTTCATAGTTTTCAATAAAAAAGCATTTGAAAGTAGAAGGAATTGCCATTCCCTGAATGTAGCGCTGCATTTAATTAACTGGTAATTAGCGGTATAATATATTTATTTTGTACTTTTCTGCTCATGCATTGTTTGTTATTTGTTGGATTAGATTATGTTGGATTCAGGACGTTTATGTTATAGTCAACTTGTGAGAGTTTTTTGTTCTTTTAACGTTATAACCTTATATTTAGTCAATCGATGTGCAGTACAATAAACTATTTCAACAATACAACATCACTCTTGGGAGTAGGTCAGTATGCCACTGTAGAACAATTTGTACAATGACGGGATATGATAGTCATTTACGGTTCCGAACCTTATTGTCGCTATTGAAGAGAAAACCTTGATTTCGTAGAAAGCATCCCCAAAATAGTACACGCGAAGTAGTACGTGTGACAGTGTGGTAAATTGTAAAGGAGTAATTACTGCATCCTTATCGTTTGCAGCGATCGCAAGCCTTGCAGAAAATCGACTTTTAGTCGCGGGTGGATTCGTGTCAGTAGTTTCGACAGAAAGAAGTTGCAGCGTCCAATTTTTTGCAATGGTCTTTTGTTTACGGATGAATGCTGCTTCACGAAAGATAAAATTTTGAATTTTCATATTTGTTACTGGTATAACTCTAAATTCTCTCGTCTCGAGCATCCTTCGTGATTTCGACAACGGTATTCAGTAAATGTTTTTTCCTTTTGTGTTCATAATACTTATTGAAAAGTAATTTAAATATTGTTGTATACTATTAGCGATGAACAAGCTCCATGACCTATTATGAAAAAAAGCAGCTGCATTAGTGTGCAGTGAAAACTCATATCTATGCTTAGCGAATGCTAGAGATTGAATCTTACCATCTCGAATGACCTTACCGAAGAAGAACCTGCAGGAAGCCGACAAAACTTGAATGATATTGTCAACTCAAAACCGACAGACTGGAGGTCCGTATGAAGAATGACCACATTTTCTTCCGAGGAAAAAGAATTGATGTTCTCAAAATCAAAACAGTCTCATAGATGTCTGTGGTCATCAATCTCTAGCCAAATTAGCCCCCCAACCAATTCAGAAGAACCGTTTTGACTTTACAATGAGCCTATGACTAGAGAAAAACGAGGTAGGCTGATTAAGAACTCTCCTTCCTTCAAAAAAATGAACTCCACCCATCAAAATTTGAATGACAGGCCAAGTCTCCAATCAGGCAATTTTGCCGCAGGATAGCAACACCGAAGCCTTGTACCTCAGGCAGACTCATCTTGCACTTTTAAGCCAGAACCTTCAACTTCTGGAACCGCCATGGCTGTGAAATATCATTGACATAATGGATCAGCTGTCTATCGGTGTAAAACGTTACCAATTAAGGACTCTCGCTTATTCCGTTTCTTAGAATATTTTCAACTATAGTCTCGCCAGCGCTAGTGATGAACAACGCAAGACGAGGGTCAAGAAGTCTTGGTATTGGTCTTGCTTAGTCGATCTTAGTCTTGGTCTTGCTCAAATACTTCTAGTATTGGTTTTGGTCCTGCTGATATAGTCTCGGTCTTGATTTTACTGATATAATCTCGGTCTTGGTCTTGCTGATTTAGTCTCGGTCTTGGTTTTAGTCTTGCCTATTGAATCTTGGTGTTGCTCATTTAATCTAATACTTACATATTTTTAATAATTCTTCTAAGCTATTTTTTTTCTATTTACAGACACAATAATCTATTGTCTTAGATGCTGAAATTTTCAGTCTATCATACGAACTTGTCATGACTTTTAAAAAAAATAGTGTCANTACATTCCATTTTATTTTCTTGTTATAAGAAGAAGGTTTTGTTATAAATATTTCCGGCAACATAACAAAATTCTGAAATCTTCATATTCATTTAATACATAGTGTTTCGGATGGCCCTTGAGGATACGTCCATGAAGTTAGCAGGCCAACTTTTGCAATTCGAACTCGGAATAGCACAAGTATTTGCCGTAGATCTTCTGCTAATTGGCCACGATAAAAAAAAATTGCTGTTCCCGATTTTTAAATGAAATTAGTTGCCCTATTAAGTTCATATGAAGTTAGCAGGTCACACGTTAAAAATTAAAAAAGTATTAGTATCTATACATAAAAAAATGGTTTACATTTTATGGTTTTTAATAACTACTTTTTTTTACAACGTGACCTGTTTACTTCATATTTAAAAAAAAAACTACGAATTTTTTTTAGCACCGTCAATTAACGGATAAAATGTAGCAAATTTTAAACTGTTTATTTTTATTTTATAACTAACTAGCCCTGACAGACTTCCCTCTGTCAAAAGTTATTGGCCTGTAGCAGTCCAATATAAAAAATAAATAAGTAAAACGTATTTCAGAGTGATCAATTTATTTATTGATTTAATGTTTCAACAATCAGTAAATACCATGCACAAATTGTCGTGTGGATAGATAAAAACACTGTATTATTTTATTTGCAATAACGTTTCATGTGTAAATGTTACAATTAAACAATTAATAACGGTGTTTCCGGAACAACGTAAGAGGTTGTGAACTCTAACGCTTTATTCGTGATTATTATTAGTTGACCTGTTTTCCCTGCTAAAGACCCTACTCGCTCTTGGCAACTGTTAATTTGAGAAGTTTTCGTTGTATATTGTTAACGGAGTTCGGTTATACCTAATTAATGATATGAATATATACTTACTACGCCTTAATAGTAAATCATTACGTAGTAAACAGTTTGTTTGCATAATGAAAATAACAGTAATTAAGTAAGGGGAAGTATGTTTAGAGTTTAATTAATACTTCTTTCATAGATTCATTGTTAATAATAATTGCTATGCTCAGTTATCTGTGGTCATAACAAATTATGATCAAAAACCAGGCCCAAAGCGATTTCTTAACAGTCATGAAATGCTGTTTGTTATGTGGCTACATATACATTTACCACATATTATTTTTTTTACTGTATATTATCATTTTTGTACACAGCTTTGGTATTTATATTCTGCAATGTACATGTGCCTATAAAGCTCAAAATAGTTTGAAAACTTTTAGAAGGGTGTATTCAAACGAATTCCATTACCCTGTTTTAACGAAATATGGGAAATGCGTACCTACGATTTTGCCAGCGCGCATCCAAAACATTGGAAGGGGCACATCGCTAGAGAAATTGAATGAAGTATAGTACAACATTTTTGTTGAGTATCAGCTGCAAAGATAAACTCAATAGCCTTCAAATTATTATAATTATCGAGTAGAAGTAGAAAAACTTGCAGTTCGCGAATTAAGTATTACAGCAATATGTCATGCACGTGAACTGCGATACATAATTAATTGAGAAGGCTAAAACAAAGCTTTTATACTGTACAAGAAATAGTCTAATTAGTTGTCGGTGTGAGAACGCTAAGATTGCTATCTATTCATATCGATGTCGATCGACTTCTGAATATTTTATTACCTCAGCCGCCACTTTGTATGGCTCAGAGTTTACTTATATAAAAGAAAGTTGTTATGAGTCTCTGGTAGGAAACTATTATACATAAGTTTATTGATTGTAAATCTTTTACTTTATTATTTATTGCTGGAACAATAAATCAACTTACCCGTACACCTACCTTAAGCAAGAGAAAGATGCCCTTATCTTTCTCGGATAGTCGCAGGTAACAAACACTTCTGGTACTTTATAAAATTTTTTATCTTTCTCTTTGTTTAAATAGTTTGTAAAGTGTGTTTATATTTTATTACCATACTATCAACTGCTTTATGAATCTTGAATAAATTGCAGTGGCATTGACAAGTTTCACATGAAATTGAAAATTAATTATCAAAATAGATATAAAAAAAATAGAAAGTGTAGAAGTTTATTACTGGTCTTCTTCAGAATCCGTTGAATCGTCATTAGTTTGTAATTATAAAGGCTTCACGTTTAAACAAAATTTTGAAAAATTTTCCTCTATGAAATATCCACGTTTTGATGCAAGAATACGTACTTTTTGGACGAGATTGTTTAGACAGAAAAATGCACAAATTTTACGAAGCACCAGAGACTAGCCGAGAAAGATAAGGATATATTTCACTTCCTTTTGATAGGTATACGGATTAGCAGATTTATTATTCCAGTAATAAAAAATAAAGTAAAAGATTTACAATTTAACCTCATAATCCAAAACCAGCAAAATTGAACTGAAGCGATTATACTATTAAAATGTTCGTGGGTTTAACAAAATTAACTTCTAAGACTGATAACGACAAAAACTATTTATTTACACTACTGTT